CCCGTAAATGACTTTTTTAATTGAATATAATGGAAAAAATGTATATTTTTTATATCATGAAACAGTTTCAGCATTTAAAAAGTTCATTATTATAAGACATTATGAATTAAAAAATCAAGAAAAATTCTCCAATTTAAAGAATAAAGTTTTTATTTTCAATCTGATTTGTTAACACAAACTAGATGTACTATATATAAGTTAACTAAAAGAGATACGTGTAACTGAATAATAAACACTCAAAAAAGAAAATCATAACCAATGTTTTCAATTTATTAAAAAAACAAATATTCTGAAAATGAGTTTATTGTAACTAATTTAATGACTAGAGTGAAAATAAACTAATCAGCAATTTTAAAAAAAAAATTTTTTTTAAATTTGGTAAAAGAAACTAATAATTTTCCTTCTACGTGAAAAAATTGAAAAGTTCATAACCGGGCAAAGGAAAAACAGTTTTAGAATATAAAGATATAATAACTAGAGAGATTTAGTATTTCTTACAGATATAACAACACATTTCAATATTTTAAACTATAAATTACGAGCACAAAACTGGAAAAATATATACTTGATATGTTTAATTGAGTTAGAGCATTTGATACGAATTCAAAATGATTTATTAATCAAATTTAGCATAGTGAATACAATCATTTTGAAAACTGCCAACAATTTGAGAACAAAACTAAACGTTTTATGTCCAACAAACGTTTTCATTTTGGTTTTCAGATGTATATAGCTACCCACATGAAAAATCGCTGCATTTATTTACAAATCCGTTTAATTCTGATGCAAATGATTTCTATACTTCTCTTAAACTTGAATTAATTGTGAGCTGAAACCAAATGAATTTTGTACAGATAAATTTCAATAATAAAAGAAAATTTCCAAACCTTTTAGAATTGTATTCAAAACTTTCGAATGAAGGATTTTCTGTTTTAAGAGAAAATGGCCACTGCATTTGGTTTAACGTATAAGTACACGTAAATAAATATTTCCATAGACGAAGAGAACGAGATCAGTTTATAGTTTGCGGTTAACCGATGCCCGAATACCTTGGTTCAGGTATAAGGATTGAAACAGAAAATGGCAGTTTAATTTTTCATTGTTAGCAAATGAAATACTATTCCAAGTTTTGTTTCGAAAAAAAATCACCAGATGCTATAATTTTTCATATTATTATTATTACTATTGTTTTGACGGTTGTTGTAACTATACTTTTCGAAATTATTAATAAAAATTATTGTTTTTGTATAATAAATTTACATATTTCACGAGCGTTTCGTACTACTGTAAGAATTCGAAAGCGGTCACATTACAAAGGTACAGTCCCCGGCCGTGTAAGACTCGGGGGTTGGTCACCACTGGTCTGCATAATAGACGCGGGGAAACGAAAGACTACTCCGGCGCACGCCACGTACAAGTGTTACAACAAACTACAATATATGTTTGTTTACTGGTATTGTTCACAACACACGAATTATTATGCGTATTATTACGTGGACGGTGTTATTCATGCACCGCGTACAAGCTGGACATGCTGACCGACCGACGAACACGATTGCTGTCGTAGGCAGGGTACGCGTAACACGCACCGGGGCATAACATAGGCGGAAGACCCGCAACGTAAATAGAAACGCGCACAGACCGAGCGTCTGCCCCGTGTCGAAACGGGATACTTTCGGTGGCGTGCACGGGGGGTAAGGATCTAGGGTTCAAACCTCTTCCTCCTCCCTGTCCCTCTCTCACCGACCGTAGAAACACGTCTTCCTCCTTCCAAAGTTTCGGAGCCGATGGTAATTTTTCGCGGACTGATTTTGGTAATGATCCACGTGCGGCGAGAACCCTGAAACCGAAATGAAATCCTGCATACGCTACCGGATACTCCGCGATCGTTGACGTGAACACGATAGCGTTTACCTACATTGTACATGCGGTACAAGCATAATGGGAATGGGTCGATGGGCCGACAACCATCGGGCAGACAGTACATGGCCCCGACAAAATACAATAATTAACAATTACTAAAATTTCAGCAATTTCACATTATTTGTTGTGTTCTTATATCTGCGTTTATCGAATTCACCGTATAAGCTAACCCGACCGAATGCAGCAAAATACCACAAAAACCTGTTAGTATTTATTGACTTCGATAACTGTCATACTTTTCGTATCCTATGCACACACGCGAAGTCGCAACAGCCAAGTACTCAAAGTTATCTGACCATCACCTAAAATAACAACTATTACAATTATTATTTTCTACAACAGATTTAAAACTGCATTCTTCGTTTTTCAATAAATATTGTATTCAACATTTTTAATTAATAAATTGTGAAATAAGCTTACGCAGTGCACTTCTTATACAGTGAATTCGATTAGCGTGGACATGAGAACATAAATGAATAATATAAAATTGTGTTTCGTTATATTTTGTCGGCCCCGTGGACTGTCTGCCCGATGGTTGTCGGTCCAATGTCGTGGATACCAAGCATAACACGTGTATGAGCGATATGAGATAATATATTGCACACGACCCTCGTCAGCTGCGAACGCGGCGTAGTCCGCTACCGGCTGGACCACGATTTCGGTGACGGCTTAAAACAGTACACCGCCGCATGCGTAGGTTTTCGATTTTTCACATCCATGCCGAGCGAAACGCTCCGGGTCGTAATATTTCACACGCGCTTCGAGCGTAACGGTACAGCTTTTAGCGCATTTATTCGCCGAACGCGGAGCCGTCCGAAAGTTTCTTCGGTGGTTTTTAAAAACGTGCATGGCTCTCAAAGGGCCACTTTTACCTACAGCTAAAAGTGTACATTATACCAGTTAACGGAACTGTATAGTACAGGCAGGGGCGGGACTAGGGGATGGAAGACGGGGATTCATCCCCGGACGTACAATTATAGAGGGTGTAATTTTTATAATCATTAACAACTAATTTGGTATTTTTAACTCTGTTGAACACCTATTGATATTAGGTTAAGACTCAGTAAGTATGATTGTACATTAATTATTGGAAAAAAATTCTCGAGAAGAGTATTTGATTATTGGTCTATGATAGGGCGTAATTTTAACATTTTCCCCGGGCGTAAAAATTCCTAGTTCCACCTCTAAGTAAAGGTATGCGGGTACCTATTAATGTTCATGCGTCGTTGTTACAATACACTTGTACCTACGCCACGGCACACGTGATTATTGATTATAAATCTGCCACTGCAGGCGGACACAGGAGCTACGTGTCAATGTAATTTTGTACGCGACAGCGAACAGGATTCAGCCTTTTTTTGTTTTAGTGTATATGAAACGTAATATATTTGATGATAGCGCTAACCATATAAATTGTTTAGATAATAATACTGTCCGAGATAAATTGTCCGTGAAGTACCTGTCTTCACACGCGTAGCACTACGTAATATGTATACGTCCTTTTAATGCTGTACGATAATCTCAAACGACCCTTTCATTTATTTATAAATTATCTATGATCTAAAGCTCTACCGTGGATTCAACTCTTTGGTTTTTTTTTTTTTAGAGAAAGTTGATGTTTTTCGCCATCACGTTTTTACTCAAAGCTATACTTCACGAGTCGAAAGCACTAATACGTGTCACGAGTACGTTTTTTGGTAAGGTACCTAATTAGTAATCCCATAAACAAAACTCAAAAGTAATTGCTGTTCTTTAATTAAAATCGAAACATGAGAGGACGCAGTCAATTAGGTTGGTACCTATTTCATAGTTTTGATGAATTCGTGAAATCAAAAATTATGGGCATTTGGGATTTAAATAATATTTAATTATATTATTATTTTATACAGTACAAGAATAATATATGGTATAAAACATAAGAAATATTACTAGAAGTTACTCTACACTGAGGAAAAAACCTTGTGTCGTAGAGTAAGAGTACTTATTAGTTAGTGAAATACAATAAAGTTGAAATTTTTTAATGCTAATAGAGAAAAGAAGGGGGGAAGAGAAAAATAAAATAAAATCACACAGTTCCCCGTTTAAAATAATTGCATATAAGAAATAAGTAAACAGTAGTATATAATATATGAAAATGGTGTATACATAACTTTTGTATGGGGGGGGGGGGGGGAGATGATTTGCAAACTAAATCATTATTTTTTTTATTACGTTTCTACACTCTCTCATTATTTTATAACATTCAAAATAAGGCCTAGGGGAATCTGACCCTCACATCTTCCCCTTCTATACGCCACTGGTTTTGAGATGATATACCTTAACCAGTTTTAATTGTTTGTTTATTAACAAATCCGTCTCAAGGGGGGCAAATGAGGCAAGTGCCTTAGGATGTACAGAGAATTATGAATTTAGGAAGCATCTTAAAAATGAATGATAATAAGAAAAATTAGGTTATTTTAGTTAGGTAAGCATTATTTTTTTTTTAAACTGAAATATCTGAGTAACAATAAAATTGTATAACATATATCATTAAATATGAAATTATGTAAATAATGTGTTACATGACTATATATATATAAATAATTTATTTTTAAACTACACAATCTCAAATTAATAATTTAACAAACAGTATTATTTTTATATTATATCAAAATAGCAGTACCTAGATCATATAACATCAAAATAATACTATTTATAACTTATAGTTTTATCAAAAAAATTTCCAAATGCAACTGACATAAAAACAATAATTTATAGCTACTCCTTTATAATTATATATGCATATATATATATAAAATAAAAACATAAAAATCTTTTAATATAAATTTTATTTTCATGGTTTATTTTTTAGCATTGAATTATTTATCATATTTAAGCAACAAGATAATTTCAAAATTTTTTACTTAATAGATAATTTTTAAATAAACTGTGAAAAGTTAAGTTGTTTTAACTGCTAATTAAACTAGTTAAAAAAATTAACTTTTTAACTAGTTAATGCCCACCTTTGGGCATAAATAATAAAAAATTTATTTGGACTAAAGGAAAAAATATGCAAATACATAGAATCCAGGTCCTAATTATAAATTTAATTTTTGTAAAGTGTCAACACTAAAAAGCATGCCAAAATCAAATGTTTCTTCCTGATGGGTTTTTTTCCAATGAGCAGCTAACCGACTTTTTTTGCGGAACTTTTTACAGCACATATTGCACGTAAAATGAGGTTTCAAATGAATAGCTGTATGCAATTCATAGTGATTTTTACGAACAAACTTTTTTTGACATACATCACATTCATACCTTAAAATTAAAATTTTTAGTTAAAAATTCATAAGTACAAAAAAAAATAAAAATATTAATTATTTATTTTGTAAACAAACTTACCGATAAATATTATCATGTTTTTCTGCAATGTGATATCGAAGACCAACACGGTTGTAAAATGTTAAATTACAAGATTCACGTGGACAACTCACACGTTTGCTTTCCTTCTTCTTTTCATCCTATAATTAAAAATCATATAACATAAAAACCATCAATAACATTGATCAACATAATTTCAAGAAATTAAATCAAAAGTATTGAATTTATTTAAATTAGAAAAGCCAATTGGAAATATGTCAATTACTAAACATTAAATTTGAAATTCTATAAAATAATTTATTTCTGAAAAAACACTTATTTTAAATCCAATAGTGTTTTTAATATCTAAGAAATAATGGGTTAAAATATAAGAGATTTAATAGATTTTAATTGTAAATATATAATTTAGTACCTTCATTAGTAATTTATATTATACTTGTATACATATAATTAACTAATAAATTTAATAACATTAACATTATAATATTTTCATTTTATTATATATTAAAATATATATTTTTACAAATTAAATATTTTTAATTTAATAAAAATAATAAAATATGAGTGGTTTTCTTAATTGTTTTTGATTAAACACATAACAGGATATTTAATTCAGTTAAATATACATAATAAAAATAATTTCATAGATTTGTTTTCTTAAGACACATATTCTACAAATAATGGCAACCTGAACAAACATATTCCTTATACAAAGATAAATAATATTCAATTGTAGTCAAATTTACAATTGTTAGTTGTCAAATTTACACTTTTGTGCAAGGAGTATTGTTATAGAATGACTTCTCCTATCAAGCTGTGCAGTTATATAATTTAAATTTGCATTAATTTATACTTTTTATACTTATATTAGTATAGATTGTATAAATTAAATAAAAAACAAATATTTATCATAAATAAATTAGCTATGAAATACTTTTAAATATTAAAATTCTATACCTTTGGATGAGATTCCATGTGTGCGTGTAACATAACATCACTATCAAAACGTAGGGGACACCGACGACATTTAAACTTTAGTAAACGTTTAGGCCCATGGACTCTAGCAATGTGTTTTTGTAAATAATTAGGAAAACTAAATGATTTTCCACATTCTGTACATATCACACTTCTGCAGTTATAAACACTTATTATGTAAATTTATTAATAAAACTAATAGTAATATTCAATTAATGTATTCACTTTTCTTTTATTTCATGCAGCCTTTTATAATGTCTATTTAATAATTGAATTGTTGTAAATTCCTTATCACATTCAAGTGTAGGACATTTAAACATACAAAATGGATGTTCTTGTTTTCTATGTGCAAGGAGTGATCTTCTTTTTTTAAATACTGAATGACATATATCACAATTGAATCCTAATGTATTCTACACAAATTTGATAAGTAGTTTATTACATTTTAAGTATTTTAAATATTTTGCACACATACCTGATCAGGATGTACTTTCAAATGATAATTTAAATACTGCTGAGTCGAAAATCGTTTACTACAAACTGAACATTCATATTGTGCTTCTTGATGAGTCTTCATATGGAATTCTAACTTTCCTTTACTTGGATATTTTTTATCACAGACATAACATATATATGAGTAATCACCTAGAGAAGAATTAACTATTATAGAAAAAATCCTTAAATTTATCACATTATTTGGTTATACATTTATAAAAGGAAATCATCAAAAACAAACACAAAATATTTGCTTAAGCAATAGATAAAAAATCAAAATAATGTCAATTTGTAAAAAATAAACAACCTGTATGTTTAGTTACATGTATATCTCTTGTTGATTTTTGAGTAAACTGTTTATTACAGTATGGACACGTATAGGGTTTGACATTCTCATGGATTAGCATATGTAGACGTAGATTACTTTTTTGGTAAAATGTTTTATTACAATAATCTGAAAAATAAACAAAATTAATTAATTAAATATTAATAAAATATAAAGATTTACTTTTATATAAAATTTATTTTACTTTTTTTTGTCCTTTTCCTTTATACAATTGTTTCTAAATTATTTTCAGTAATTTAGTTAAAATTTAGGCCATATATATTATTTTTAATACATTATATTTAGTGTTTTATGTTATCAATATGTAAATAATCCAAAATAATGATAATACAATTATAGAATTACCACATGTTAAATGTAAATTTGTAGATTTTGACTTCAGTTGGTGTTCTTTTAAATGTTCTTCTAGTTCTTCAAATGTTTTAAATTCATTTTTACACTTTTGACATGAAAATACACTTACATCTATCAAACAAAATTAAATAAATACTAATATATAAATTGAATTAAATTAATTAATAAAATATATTACAATTTACCTTGAATAATCTCATTTGGAAAACATGCTGAATTTGAACTCACATCTTGTATTGTGTCATTTTCTTCTTTTCTATAAAATTTAATATTAGGAGTTTGAGGACCTTTTTCATCCTTAAAAATACTTGGATAAGTATATTGATTTTATAGGACATATATTATGAAACTTTTAGTAATAATTACAATGTTTGTTTGATCCAAATCATAACTGGATACTTGAAAAACATTCCAAGGTTCTGATGAGGGACTTCCATAATCACCAAACGATGGTGCAACAAAATCTGTAGGTAGCCGTTGATTATCATCTATTTCAAATCCGTCCTTAGAATTGCAGTCTTGAATTGGTCTCAGTCCAACACTCCATAGAATCGGACTAACTGGGTTTCGAAAACCTAACACAGAGTCAATCTTTTCTTTTATTAACGGTGTTATATAGTCAGGGCCATTAATGTTTAGATCTATATTGTTAGGAGTCATTGGTGGCTCTATCACATTGCCAAGAGATGCTAAATCTTCAGCTTTCCATTCTGTGCATACATTTCGTAACCATTTCTATAAAAAAATAAAATGATAAATTATTGTTTTCTAATAAAATTAATATTAATACCTTTAATTCATCAATTGATGATTGTATTCTATTAAGAAATTGTTCATGTTGCGAGTTGAGATTTATGGCAGAATGCATAAATGTAAAAGATTCTAAAACTCCAACTTCAGTCATCTATAACATATTCATTCAATTTAATATTTAATTACTAGATTTTACATAATTTATACTCAGTTTTAAAAAAGGACACAAGATATTTTGATATAAGATATTATTTTAAATGAAAAAATTATAGATACCTATATAAATATATATACTATTCAAAATTGCAAGATAATAACTTTGAAACACCTACAAGGACATAAATACTTTGTTTTTAACTTTAACACTTAATATGTAGACAAACAATATGATCAAATAAATAATAAATTAAATAAACAAACATAATTTTAAAAGTAATAGCTGCCAACTATGCCAATCAAGCAAGAATTATTTTCATAAATTTGTAAATAAAATATGTGGAACAAATATTAGAAAAACCAATGGACTGGTTTACATTTTTTTGGTATGAAATTTTTGAATCACCAATCACTTTAATTGTGAAAGCTGACTTATATAATTTTTAGTTTTCACAAACTAGGTACATAAAATATAATAATGTCAATGAAAAATAATTATAAACAAATATACTTACAACATTCAAAAGCTTATTAAATAAATCAAGTAGATCAGAAATTACTTCCACATACATTTTGATACTACTTATAATGAAAACATATTTTTTAAACTGATAATAATCAAAACATTCAGATTCTTATGACAACACAATTTTTACAAAATAAAAAATTGGTACGTTAGAACTTCATAATTTCAAAGATCAATGGTAACAAAAAGAAAACTTGACAAATTTAGTGTTAAGACGCAGATAACTTGTACAAAAAACTTTATTTTTTTTTGAGATATCGAAATCGCCGAGGCATAAACACAAAAATGTAGACATGTCAATAAAAATGAGAATGAGTATGTATTTGAATAAAAAAACGTATTTAAATGAGGAAGAGATAATATTTACAATATTGTTACATTGTTTCTATCAAAAACGTTATCACATTTAGGGACGTTGTGATCATAGAAAAGAGATTAGATGCGTTGTGATACTAACGATACCAATAAAGTATATATATAATATAGTAACAATAAAGTATATATAAAGTATCGATACTTTTCTTTCGTTACAAGTACTTTTTGTATCGAGACCTTGGTATCGTTACTTTACTCATATTGATAAAAAAAATACTGGTATCGAATGAATAGTATCGAATCATTTTCTAATCACCATAATGGTTCAAAATTCAAAAGTACTCGAATAGTCGAATGGTATCCAAGGGTGTATTTGAGGGGTGGGCCAAGGTGGCATGTTTTCTGTTCCATTTTGTTTTTAATATTCAAAATTGAAGGATATACTTAAAATTAGTCTAACTACTTGTAATGTTTTTGTTGATTTAACTAATTTCACAAAAAGGGTACTGTGTCACTACAGATAGATACATATAAGTACTGACAATACTGTATATAATATGTATTCATGTTATAAAATATAATATTAAAACAAATGAAAGATAGTATTTAGGTAATGCAATTTATCCATTATTATTAAACTAATTTACTAATTAAATTAATTTAGTAATGATTGATAGTTGATTAATAATAAAACCATGACAATTAGAGATTTATCTATAGATATAGCTAGTCTTCATAAATAAAACAATAAGCTTATTGATAATAAATTATTTCGATATTATAAATACGCCAAAAATTTGAATTTGGCTGATGAAGACACGATATTAAAGAGACGCGTTGTGGCGTCCTGGGTAACTTAATACGCAGCAAGGTCGCTGACAAGGCCGTATTATGCCTAAGCCCGTGAGGTCCGGTCCTAGGGCGGCAAATTTTGTAAGAAATAAAAAAAAAAAAATCATAAAAATATTTTATGTATTTATGCAACAGCGTAAATTAATATTATATAATATTTAATAGTAATATAAATAATATTTAATATTATAGTATAGATATCTGTGAATAAAATATATGTGCGCATGACATTGAAAATGTCAATAACACGAAATCAATTTTTTCGTAATGTGAGCTATAAAGATAAGATACCTACCTAGGTACATAAGGGAATTGTTTTTAGCATTTGATGTAGTTTTGTTTTTGTTCTTCTGCTTTTTTTTATGATTTATTTTAGGTTTTTGTTTAATGGATTGTGCTTTATGTGGTACTGGATATATTTGTTGTCAATTTTTATGAAAGGTAGTTTTTGGTTTTTTCTTAATTTCTTTTTTAAATGTTGTTCAACTGTTTTAATTTTTATTTTCAGAACTTACTTTTTGTTCCAACTTAAACAAAGGATTCTTCGGGAGCCAGGTAACCCCTTTTCATTTTTATTTTTGAATTTTACACTTAAATTAATTAATTGTATAAGAATCAAATTCATTTAATTTACATAAAATATCTTAAAACTTTTAAAACATGATTCAAATTAACTAATAATAATCAACTCTTAATGAATAGTGTTCATAATTATAAAATATAATTCAATTTATATTAATCAATCTAATTTTATATTAAAATATTAAATTTTATTTCGTTTATTTTTGTTTTTTTTCAGAACTTGGATTTTTTTTTTGCTTCAAGCCAAATCAATTTTCCTCTGGGAGCCGGTGATCTCCTTTTCATTTTCATTTTTGAGTTTTCCACTTTAAATATTTAATGGTATAAAAATCAAAAAAAAAAAAAAATCATTTATAAATTATATAAATCTAATAATAATATAACAAATTAACTATATAATTGTATATAGGTAACATCCGAAATATGTTTTAGAAGTGACAAAATGCATTTTATAAAATTGTGTTACAAACCATAGTGAAAAGTAATAGGTAATTTAATATTTTTATTAGAAGGAAATATTTATTTTTACAAATTTTTATAGCCTTCAGACCTGGCAAATTCTTTGATATCATCTTTAATATCAATCGGCAATGAGAAATGTCTATTGCTGGATCACTCTGTTAACTTGATACACCACTATTTGACAAAGGCTATATCACCACATCAAGGACACTATGCTCAGGAGCATTTCTGAAAATGATTATTGATCAATAATTGCTGTATATGGTGCAAAGAGGATATAAAATAATTTAATGGTATTTTTTACTTTAGAAGGTATAACAAAAATATATTTATTTTTCTTATTTTGAATGGAAGATAAAGTTTAATATTTACATAAATTACCTCAAGTTACCACTATGCTGAATATTTGACATTTAGTTGTTGAAGTAAAAAATTTAATAAAATCGGGTGTAAAGGGAATAGGAAGCAAGTTCCACCATACCATACATGTAGGGGCATATTTAAGGGGGTGATATGAGTGTTAGAACACCATCCATCGACCATATCCTATGGTATTTTATTAAATTACAAACGTACAGTATAATTTGAATAAATGTTGTATACAACTTGTCGATTTTACATACACTGTTTTAATATAATCATTTTCATTAGTGTAATAATTTAAATAAATACATGGTATTTATTTATGTATTATAGGAGGGGGTGGCAGAGCCTCCCACTTACCATAAATCTATTAAATTTTAAAACACCACCGTTAAATGAATCCCGGATACACCACTGCATACATGTGAGATGTTTCGACCTTGTTCCTCTTCTACTGGTTAAAAGGTACACTTAGTCATTGATCTATAGAAGGGCAGCTATGAAACATTATTGAAACAAACATTGTTGAACAACAAGATTGGTTGACGAGGAAACAAATTATAATGGTGAGTGAAACATTACAGCAACTATCAGCGTCCAAGAAAAGACAACAATTTACGGAAGAGACCACGTGATTAGGAACGTTGCCATACCACCGATACCAATAATGTATCAATATTTTTCTTTTGATAAAAGTACATTTTGTATCGATACCATGATTTCTATACTTTAGCCATATCAGTAAGAAAATATTTGAATCACATGAATAGTATCGATTCATTTACTAACCGCCTTATTGTTTCAAAAATCAAAAGCACTCGAATGGTATCGAACAATAATTATTTTCTAGTAAAATGGTTGGCGCGTGTGGTAGAGGATTTGTTTACATAAATCGGTCATCACATTATAGTCTATACTCTATACCATTATATTATTATTTCCACGGACCAGAAACCACAATCCACAATACAATAGCGTCAATAGGTTTCCTCTTAATCGGAACGATTATTCATATTAGTCGTTTCGATAATTTACTTTTATCGATAATCTCATTCGATAAGATACCAAATAAATATATCGATACTTTTCTGTCGATATCACGTTCCTAATCACATTATCTCAAATACGTTATCAAAGTTATCACGTTATCGAATATATTGATTCGTTATTATGATTAGAATCACAGGAACTTTTTGATTTGGAAAATGCTGTTTTGAAATTCCATTAAGTAATTGATCATACATTTGACTTTTTAATTCCAAGAATAAGATTGGGTATAGACTCTGATTACAATATAACTTGGTCTAATTCAGGGGCGTACACAGGATTTTTCAATGGGAGGGGTGGTCTTGAAAATAAATAGTTACATTTGGCTTATCAAAATAAAGTACATACATACTTTTAAACTGCTAGTTTAATAATACTTTACAGTTTACATCAATAAATACACATGAATATATGACTTTTAAAATCAAAATTTGATCAAATATGGCGATAGTAGGAATCAGTGGCGTACATTCAATCTTTCTCTGGGGCAGTAGCGCTATCAGGAATTTTTCATGGGGGGGTCTGACAAAATAAACTAATATACAAATAATAAAAAATTATAATATATATATATCTAGAATATGATATTAATATACTATTATACGTACCAAGGGGGAGGGGGGTCCAGACCCGGAGTCCACCCAACTGGTTGCGCCTCTGCTCTGTGGAAAGGGGGTTAGCAAAAATAATCGTTATCTTTTTTTTTCGTTGCACGGATAAATAACTGCTATAAATAGATATTATTTTATACAACTTTTTTACCAATTCTCAGTTTACATATATATTACAGTAAATTGGAGTATAAAAACAGTATAGTTAACAAAACTTTTCAATCGCCTATCAATATACTTATTTAATAATTATAATACAGAAGGGTCTCGATAATTCGAACAAAATCGGGGAAAGAGGTCGTTCGGATAACCGATTTGTTCGGATTATCTATGGCTTAATAAGATCTTCAATTTTATTGTAATTTAAATTATGAATTTTTTTTTTTTTTATCTGTATTAATCATGTAAAAATTCATAATTTATAAAGACAATGTATACAAAAAGTTATTATAATTATATATATGTGTGTATGTACAAATAATATTTATTACATAATATGAACCTTATTATTTAAAATATATATTTACTATTATTATGACACACATACATATGTATTAATATAGTGATGCGATATTTCTCAAGCTCGTTTGGATTACCTCGTGTTTCGGATTAGGCTGTGTTCGGATTATCAAGACCCTACTGTATTTGTATAGTTGTATGTTTTAAGTCTAAATTGTAATAATGAATTTACGAATATATTACATGTCATTAATAATATAATAATTGTCTTCTTTTTTTTTTTTTGGCCCTGGAGTGTTTGATCCCCCCCCCCTCTCTCCGCATGTATGTCACTGATAGGTATATAATCAATTTTAAGAGTTTACAGAATAAATGCATGATATAATTAAAAAAAGCAACAGTAATGTATCATTGTATAAAAGTAATCCGATTTCCTTCAAAGGTTGATAAACCCGGATATTTTGTATATATTTTCATTATTAATGAACAGTGATTTATCGGTAATTATATAGAAATCTTCTGAATATTTTTTTTTAAAAAACTAAATCATGAATAAAATACCATTTCATTTGTTACACTAAAATTTATCTATAAAAAATTTGGCAGCTATGCTAAAATTAATTTAAATGTTTGACTTAATCCCCAATAAATTATTAAAATCACGATATTTCTTGTTCAGGCTTATAACATA